GGACTGTTCTTTAGTCTAGATCCTCTCACCGCTCTGTGATACTTTAGGGTTTGAAGGAGGGAAAAATGTCCTCACTAATCTTTTTCACACTCTTTTGCCCCAGACTATCTCGTTTAACGTTGAACGAGTGGCAAGTTTTCTGCAGATTTTGAGATCTGCACGCCTCTCCTCGGTGGCTCTTTCATCTTTTGCAGCTCCCGTAATAATGGGTAGTGAACAGCTGGGCTAACCTAAATGCCACAGCTTGTGCTGAAACAGTGATGATTTCCAACGAGATCTGATGACTCGAGAATTAAAAGCAGTGATGTTAATAATGGCAGGAGTTCACTCTCTGGATTAAAAAAAAAAAAATCCACAGCGTCCTGTAATGCCATGAGAATGGCTGAAGATTATCTGTTATGTAATATAATGGGTTGCTGAATGCGAAGAAATCAGGCTTGCAAGCTCGTGGTGTTTACGTGGTAGATGCAAGCTCAGTAAATAGATATACAACGATTTGTCCCACGCAACAAGATCTCTGCAAGGAATTCATTTCTTATGGTTGCAAGCACGACATTCAGCCTACTGTTTCTCATAAATTAAGGTATGGTAAAGCAGGATTTTTTATAAGTTATCTTAGAGGAGTAAGATCAAGGGAACAGCTCATTTTAGCAGCAAGTGTTGAATTTTTTTTAAAAAAAGGTGCTTCTAGCATTTAAAATGGAGGTGCTTTGGAGCTTTACCTTTTGTATCAGGGTATATACATCAGATTAAACTGCTCTTCAGTGGACTTTGAATTCTTTGTGCTGCTCAACTTGAACGCAGAAAGTCTCATAATATTTTTTGTTAGGCAGATGCTTCATGGTACAGACAGACTGAGTTAATTTAAGGACTAAAGATGAAAAAGTGGAACAGCTCAGCTCAGGCCCCCGTTTTGCTGAGTATCTTTTCTGAGTGCCGTACCTAAGAACTGTATAGTTTCATGAGTGTAATGAGGTTTTCTTTCCTCTCTAAGTTGGACATGCTTAAACAAAACAACCTGAAAAATGAAGAGGAACTTAATAAATCAAAAGAACTTCTAAATCTGGAGAACAAGAAAGTGGAAGAACTTACAAAAGAATTGTAAGTATTTCAATGTTAAATCTGTTAAACCATTACTTTGTAGTAGTTAAAAATTTAGTAGTTACATTTACCTTTTTTTTTAATTGTCTTTCAGTACCTCTCTGGTATCCTCACTGATAAAGCAGATATTAGGTAAAAATTAAATATTATTCTGACATGGATAAAAATTGGAATCAGAATGTTGCTCCTGAATCGCTGGAGGGTATTGAAGCAAATCCTTCGCTCCAAGCATTGTTTGAAATAATTTGTTTATTGGAGGAAGTACAGAGTTCTGCCACCTGAGGGCACTAGGTTATTTTAAAAGCTTTATTATAAAGAAATTCTGTTTGGTTTTAATTACAAGTACATTTGGAGTGTTAAGTAGTTTTACGTGGCTTTGTTTATAGAAAATCTGGTTCTGCTTTATTTGAAATGCTTCATTTGAGAAACTACCTCTTACTACTACAAACCAGTGGCATGTAACACTGTACACAAACAAAATAACTGCAAAGCATCGGATATCGTTTGCCCTGTGGAATCTCACTGTAGCAAAGCTTTTGGTGTGCCAGCGTGTATAGAAATGCAGCCTAGTTAGTGCTGCCCTGCAGGAGCTGCATGTCCTCAGACTTTCAGAGATTTAATGCATTAAAGCACAAATATCTCTTCCCACCTGCGCTCCGAGAAGAATTACTTGACTCATGGAGTGAGAGCTGGAATCTGGACTGAGAGCTAAGAGCAGCTTTGAGTAATTATTATTACTGTTAGTTCCGTAAGTCGTTTTGTGACACTTCTTTAGCCACTGCTCTGAGGTGAAGACAGGACACAGAGGAAATCAGCACACAGAATCAATACTGAATTTCTGTATGATTGACAGTTTTTACTGCTTGCTTTTAAAAACCTGCATGCTTGTATAGGCAGCAGCCTCCTTTGAGAAAGGCAGGATTTCATTCCGTGAGCAATTCCTACCTGCCTCAGTGCTCGGGGGAAATGCCAAAGAAAAATAATTATTTCCAGACTAGCTGCTCTAATGCTAGAACAGCAAGGGGCTAGCAGACTCTGGTATCGTGGAAAGACAAAATATATTAGGCTGTAATTTGTCAAACAGAAGTTATTTATATATATATATTTTTATATATATATATCTCTCCTTGAAAACCTTCAGCGCTGAAAGGTGTTCTCATGATCCTGATCACTCTTTGGGTTTTTCTAATTTTATGTTTTTGAATATAATTTTTCTTAAGGCTAATCTTAGTGATAGACTATTGTTGAATATGATCTCTGATCATCAGTGTATGAGATATTGTGGGTAAGCGAAAGCTTGTCTAGTTTTTTAATTCATCTTTGTTGTCGTAATTATTCCTTACTCTAAAACAAGGCATTGTTTTAGAGTAAGGAATTTGCTTGGCAGTAGGCATTTCTGGATCAGTAATGCGGGTAGTGAGATCACCTTTGAGGGGTCAGCTGATGAAGGTAGTGCCCTTGCCCTTGCCCTTGCTAAGGAGAGTAGAGGGACAATTTTGCCCCCAGGAGCTGTGACTGTGGGCAGGGACTTGGTGCTGCCTCGAGAGCGGCGCCTTTTGGAGGCTGGAGGGTGTTGCGGTGACATTGGTGTCCTCTGTAAAAGAGCCTTCCCTGTAGAACTAGGATGAAGAAAAGCAGAAATACTGTCTGGATGTTGTGTACTCATTTAGTACTGCGTACTGTCGAGTGCGCTTGCAACTATCGGTTTAAAGTTCCTTGGCACTAAACACAGGGGAGCGTTTCACACAAATTGACCCCAGTATTTTGTGTGCTTTTTTTATGATGCCCTGAATCTACGCTTTAATGCCAAAAGCAAAAAGAGGAGAACTGGTTAGTACTGCAGTTCAGCGAACAATCATGGTTAAGAATAGGTATGTTTCTGCATCAGCAAGTAGATTTGAACCGAGATGGTTTGAATCAATGTTCAGTGATGTGAGGTAGCCTGTTTAATCCAGCCTAGGTGGATCAGATTGGAAATCCATCAAGGTGAGACCAGATAGAAGAAATCGTTAGAAAAATCTTAGTCATATTACATGCTGAACTTGAAAAATAAATCAGACTTCCTTTTGTTTAAGTGTCCCCGATAACAGACCATGGAGTCCTTGTATTCTGAAGTGCTTGAATAAGTTTCTGACTTAGAGGTTCTTCTACCTCCCACACTCATAAAAGTATTTTTAATATTCCAGTCAGGGTTTAACTCTGTGTAACATTGGCACATAGGAGCAGTGAGACTCCTTTTTATGAAAACAAAACACAGTCATAAAAATTGCTGTTTAATGAAATGAAGCGTATCTCTCATTTTTTTGAAAGACATCAAATCTTATAAAAACTTGTGTTAGTCACTTGTGTCACGGGCAGGCATGCAGTACATTTTTTTTCAAAAATTTGTTGAAAATAAACTTACTTTAAGGAAACCACAGGTCTTAGTAGCAACATAGGCTAATGAAACCTGCAAATCCATTTGTTTTTCTTCAGCTTTTGTCTGGTTTTCGATTTTGTATCTGTTAAGATAATGGAATAGACTAGATACTTTCCTGTTTTGCCTTCTGTGATCTTATACATTCTTGTATGCTTGGATGTCAGACCTTGTAAGGAGTATTTAAATAAGTGGAACTGTAAGCTTTCTTTTTCCTGTTCTTTTTAGTTCTTTTTTTTTTTTTCCTTCTTTTCATTTTTGGCCCTTTGTAAAAAAAAAAAACAAAAACAAAACAAAACACAATTCTCATGTTCATAGCTGGAGGTAAAAGTTCACTTCTGAGAAGGTCCAGGCTTTAAACCACACCAACACTCTTGTCAAACCCTACCCTGTACTTCTAAATCCAAGCATTTGCTGACCATCGGAAGCACGCAGAACTAGCGGTCGGAACTTACCTTCCATTTCTTTGAGTTTCTGATACATTTAAAGGAAAAGGAGTTTTGTGCTGCTACTGCTTTCAGGGTTAAACCTGTCGCTGTGTATCCGCGGTATAGATTGTCACCTTTATTATAGATCCCGTTAGACACGTGACCTGGATGTATTTTTCCAAGCTGTGAAGCTGAATCTCTCCCACAGTTTTTTCTTGCCTCTCTCGTTCCTATGGTAACGATGCGCTCTCTGTCCTCGCAGCGAAGCGCTGAAGCTGGCAGCAGCTCAGAAGTCCCAGCAGCTTGCAGCTTTGCAAGAGGAGAACGTGAAACTTGCCGAGGCGCTGGGCAGGAGCAGGGACGAAGTCACAAGTCATCAGAAGGTAGAGTGGCTGGAACGTTTCCTGACCTGTGTTGAAGGTGCTGCGCGCGCTGTTTCCGCTGATGCCTGGGTGACGTTGCACTGCATGTTTGTGCTCGAGAGATGAGTTCTCGGAATGTTTTAAAATAAATTTGGAAGCCACCTGCATCGGGAGGTTAGAAGTGCAGGCTGACAGAAGGTTACATAACCCGTGAAGGATACTTAGGAGGCTTGGAAGTAAGCATAAATTAAATATGCTGTAGCCAAATGTATTAACAGGCACTTGCTATTTCTGTTGGGAGTAATTTTGTTATACAACTGTGGAAATCTCCATCTACCCAGTACTAAGGAAATCTAGCTATTTAATTCTCCTCCTGATTCCTGCTCTCCCTTCCCACTAAAAAAAAAAAGAGTATTTAGGATGTATTTCAGAATACTATTTAAAACTACTTGGTTGGACTCTGTCTCTAAAAAGCGCTGTGCACGTGTATGCTTGCTTAAACTTCATACTGTGCATGTACATGAACAGTGCTGCAGCCAGGTAGTGGGTACTGGAGGACTCGAATTGATGTAAGATGTGTTTCTGGTGGTAGTTTACAGGGGAGGAAAAGACTCTCTTAAATTTTATTTTATTTTTTTTACTATTACATTTGAACGCGTTGTTGGAATGTTAAGAGTATGGGCTTGGTTACACAGCTTGTAACACTGGTACTTGCCAAAAGATAAATTAGATTTACAGCCGTGAAATATGGTGGGTTTAGTTCTTGTGGAGCAGTTTGGTGACAGCCACACCATGAAGACCTCTTTGGCAGATCTTGCCCAAAAGCAAGAATGTAGAAGACATGGGTTTATATGTTGCTTTTCTGAGGCAGCACTTGTGCAGAAGAGGGGTATGCCTGTTCCCAGTGGCAGTGGAACAGATCCCTTCCATCCTGCAACAAAGGCTAATTTTTTTAAAGCCAAGAGGCTGACTTTTCCCGAAGAGTCCCATTTTGAAATATTGAGGACGAGTGGCTACAGATCTGGCCAGTTTCTAAATCCTTTTGGCTGCAATGTAATGCACGAGCTCCTTCATCCTAAAGAGCCTTTGGAGATGATTATCAGGAGTCCCAGACATGTGGGCTCAACCGCTGACTCATGCTGCATCTGAGTAGTGGTGTGCTGAGAGAACGCTGTCATCCTAAACAGCCAGTGGGAGCTCTGCTCTGCACTCCCACATGTTTTCTTAAATTATTTCAGAATCTTTGAGGCAACCTGTTATTTTCAGGAAGAGTTGTAGCTTGAAAAGCGTTTGGCAACATTGGTCAAATCTTTCTGCATATCGTATGTAGCCAGAGTTGTTAAACAGAAAGTCCCCGAGGGAGGGGACCCTTCAGCCCACAAGGCGTAGGCTGGCAGTGGTCACTGCAATCTCCAGCTGTGGCTTCTGTTGTTTCAAGATGACCTTGTGAAGGAGTCCTGCTGTCTGCATCCTGCCTACTGTGGATCTGTCAGCAGGGATCCCTCTCTCATTGCCAGGATAGAGAGCTTCGGCTGTGAAGCACAGGGATTAGTCAGTCATTCTCGCAAACTGGAATATTCCCAGTTCACTTGCACCATGGTATTTTCTGCCCATGAGTAGATGGCTCCAAGATCAAAGATCTGGAAGAGCTGCTAGAGCTTGGAGAAACAGTCTGTTTGCCTTCTTCAGCCATTTGTGTTGCATTCTGTCCTCTTCTGTGAGGAAGACATAATTTAAATCTTGGAAACGAGGGAATGCCGCCTGTTGCATTTCCCAAATGTGCCATTTGGGCTATGGTGTCTTCGGGTCTAGTGAGCTGCATGGCCTCCTAAGAGACCGGAAGAGGCCTTTGGTATTCCAGGGAGCTCTGTTGTGGCAGAAGGGTCAAAGGCAGAATGGTGTAATTTAAAATGCAGGTTTCCTTCCGGGTGTCACATAACTAATGACTGCAGCTCTCCTCAGTTCAGTGGCGTTCAGCTGCCACTGCTGAAACGTGCGGTCTGCCTGCCCAGAACTGTCAGATTTCCTGGTTGCTCCTAAAGAGCATTCCCTGTATCGTCTGAGCCTGGAAAGCACTAACCATCCTTGCCAGTCTGATAGAAACCTGCTGTTACGCTGAGGAGTAGGACTTGATTTTCATGTTCCGTTTAGATCTCACCCAACCTAAACTTATAGTCCCCTTGTTCTACCTTTGACTCTGCTGGGTTCTCTTAATGAAACGGCAGGAAAACCAGCTGGTCTTGAGGGTTCCCTCACAGACTTGTGCTTGGGCTAGCCCAGCCTCAGGGTTCCCCACCACCACTTGTACTTGGCTGTCACTTGGGTGAACATACACCGTGTTTAGGCACCAGCTTGCAGCATGCTTTGGGCTGCCTTGGCTCAGGCTGTCTATGGGGGGTGAAAAAAATGTTGCTGTGAAGAATTGCTCAATTAGATTCTAGAGAACAAGTGTCCGTGGTGGCAACAAAGAGGCTTAACACAGAGCGGAGTTGCTCGTGGGGCTGCATTTTATGCAGTGGATACTGAAAAATTGGGCACTAGGGAGGAAAGCACAGAATGTGGCAGTGCTTCAGCCTGGCTGAGTTGCTGTGCATGTGCCTATTAAAATGCAGTAAGAAAGGTAGCGAGCATATGCTTTAAGTATTTTGAGCAATCGCTATGGTAACTATATAAATTCTAGCAAGTGTGTTAGTCAATTGGGTTAGTGAATCTGTGGCTGCATGTGACACACTTTGCAAAATTAATGAATACTCTTTCATGAATGATTTATCCTGACATCTAAAGGTTAAAGTGTCTTATACTAAAGATGCTGAGGGCTGCTTTTCTGTATCGATCCATAAATAATTAGCTGTTTGTAATTAGTTAAAGATTCCCAGTCAGGCAGATACTGAGCTCGGGGAACTCTTCTGGCTTCGGATTATTTGTTGTGGCATTTCAGTACCCTCAGACCTGCCCAGGCATTTTAACTTCATTTGAGAAAGTGTAGAAACATCTATTAGCTCAGCTGCTCCCTTTTTTATTCAAGGTATGCAAGAAGTCTGCTCTGAGGCTAGCAAGAGAGGGAGCAGATTGCGGGAGAAATGTTGAGAGAAGGGGTGTGCTTTCTCCCCTTCTACCAGAAAGCTGCTCAAGGCTTGATCCATAACTCAACAGAGCTGCAAAGGGGTTTAGAAGCTGCACAACCCCCCTTGTCCTTTACTTTTCTCTCTATGAATTCCACTTCTGTCTTGATCTGTACAAAAATCACTCATCTTTCCACAGCCAGCCAGGAAACTAAAAGGGAGGAGAGATGCAGGGTTTATGCTCGCAATCTTGGAGCATTCCACAAATGTTGAAGGATCTTCCAAGTTCAACAGGCACCAGAATCTTTCGCTAAAAGAAACCAATGCAAAAGAGAGGGTGGTGTGTTTGGGTGTGGGGAGAAAAGAGCATTGTGGAGCACTGTGGACATGACCTTTGGGGAGCAAAAGGTGAATAACGTCAGTATAAGGTTTTTCCAATTGCAGGTGGCAGTCGAGAGCATAAACAGCAGAAAGTTAAGTGAGCCTAGGGTGAATGAAGGGATTTGTTTGTGGAATGTGGCCAGGTCAGTGCTGCACAGTGTGACCATAGAGAAATGCTAGTGCTGGCAGAGGAAAAGTAGTCCAAAAACCAGCTGGAAAAGTGTGATACGCAAGAGATGGCAACGTGAGTCTGAGGGAGGAGAGGGGCCGTATAAAACAGGTGTCGGGGGAGGCGGTCTGAAGAGACAGATGAATAGCGCGCAGCTCACTGGGGTTTACAAATGAAACATTTCTCAGAGTTTTCTTTTTTTTTTTTTTGTCATCAGCCTGTGCAGATGTAAGGAGTTCATATAGGCTGCCTCCGCATAGGAAGCAGATAAAAATTCTCAGAAACAGGGGGTATACTTGGTGCTGCTGGTGAAATTGCTGGTTTTGATTTGCCTGCAGGAAAAAGTTGGCCATACCCCCATAGCACTACGGCTGCTCACAGTCCTGCTGTGGTCAGTTTTCTTGAGAGATGTTTTGATTTTAAGACTTCTTAATGTAAGCCTCTCTACACCCTTCTAGTACCTATTTTCTGTATCGATAAAGTTGTCTGACTAAGCCCCAGCAAAATGGTACCAATTGATCTTACCTAGAAGGCTTAACAGCACCGCAGTACATGCAAGGAGAAGGTAAGTTGTCAGAAAACAGGGAGGACACAATTTATCTAGGTGTGCAGCATTTAGCCCAGCCCTGGACGCCAGCAGACAACCTTCCTTCTCAGTGGAACTTGCTTTCCCTGGAAACTGCTTAACACTTTTCTATACCTGTTTGTGCCAAACCTGAATGTCTACAAAGTGCTGAGAGTATTTAGTCAGTAAGAGACTATTTGCTCTTGTTCCTGGGGCTCTGAGGTTTCCATTATAAATGTCTTGCTAACCTTGCGGATGAACCCTGAAAGCTTGTGAATCTAAAGAGAGATTGTGTTCAAGTCAAGGCACAGGTGGTTGCTACCATAAGCAGTTCTGTAGGGCAGTAATTGCTGACTTTGACCATTGAGTAAGAAGAAAGGAGAAAACGGTGAAAAAAAAATTAATTGGCCTGAAAAATACTTAACTTTCTCAGAAGTTAGTTACTGCAGTGTATCTGCTGTGGTGAGGCTTTACAGTTTTGTTGTTGTACAAATTATGGTTGGTTGTTTTGTTTTGCTTTTCCTCACCTATTTGTGCCTGTCAGTTTGGACCCCAAGAACCTGCAGCAACAGTATTTTCAGTTGAAGGCCCTACCACTTGTAAGGGCTTAAGGTGGCCCCACCAAGGTGAAGGTTCAGGATACAGTAACAGACACCAGACCAACAGCTTTAGGGATCAATAATTTATCTCTAAATAACGGTGCAGTAACAAATGCGGATCAGCAGTACAATTATCCAGGTCAGAACAACAGCAAATCCAGTAATTCACCAATACTGGGCTAAACTTAATGGCCAGGCGCACAAAGGCTCACGGTTCTCTTTGGTGTGCGTGTGGCCCAGAAATACCGTTCAAGGCAATACCAGCCTCACACCCACTCTGTGTGCACAGCACATGAAAATATCACATAAAGCAGTAATAGCCCCTCACTAGCTAATATTCTTGGTCACTGAACAATCTGTGCTTGTGTGTGTATGTTGCCCTAGTAGAAAATCAATTACTTTGAGGATTTGTAGGCTCTGTAGCCTCTCCCACTTCTGTTTTATAATGATAATGATGCTCTGATATATTATATTAAGGAAACGATCCTTAGTGTATTAACTGTAGTCTTTTTGTGCTTGTGTTTTAGCTGGAAGAGGAGAGATCAGTACTCAATAACCAGTTATTAGAGATGAAAAAGAGGTAAGTTGTTTTTTCTGATGTGTGTTTAACTATGCAGTCCTACAGACAACTTCAGAAAACATAATAGAAAAACAGCGCTAAGAAAAAGTGGTTCTCTTCTGTTGTATCATAGTTAAAAGTCCTGAGGTTGTTACACAGATTGGCTTACAGGTGATACCTTCCCCGTTTTCATTAAAAGTGAGAAGGAAATGTAATTGTATTAATATAAGAACATGTTAAGCAGTAGCATTTACCCTTTCTTCTTTAGTTATGCACCTCTTGCATTGTAGTAGTTCTCTTCAGTGAAAAAATTCAGTGTTTGGTTTTAGTCTGCTCTGGAATGCTGGATTTTCCAGCAGTCTGATAAATATGCATGCATGCAGATCTGACCCGTCAAGTTCTTAAGGAATAATGGAAAAATGCAGTGATGCTAAGGGCTGTTACATGAAAAAAAAAAAAGCAGCAGTTATTCAGCCTTGAATGGATTGTTCTCACGGTTTTGGGTTATTGAGTTCATTGTGGCAGTAGTTATTGCAGTTCATTCAGCACTGTTTTTAAATACCAGGACATTTGTCCTGGGAGACTGGGGCATCCATTTGTAAACTGTGCAGTTCAGTAAATGGTCCCAAGTTACAAAATTTACTGTCTTTAGCTAATTGGCTAAGTGCCACAATGTCTTTAGGAAAATGTGGGCTTTTCAAAAGCAGTTATATAAATCCTTAGAAAATAAGATGCAGCTCTCCCTGACACCAAGTGTGTTCCAGGAAAAAAACAAACCAACCCCTGTTAAATTTCCTGCATTAATAATGGTCACAACAAAGAACTGTGAGTGGCACCCCAGTATTCATGCACATCCGTAGCTACTCAGTATCATACACTGATCCCTTTTTTTTATTCCCTAATAATCCATTATTTGGGAGGTGGGTCATACTCTGTAACAGCTCACACTCTTCCAAAGGACAGTGGGCACATAGGGCGTTACACAAGTGCACGCGTCCTCAGCGAATGTCAGAGTTTGGTCAGTTGTTACACGGAGAGGCAAGTGGACAGCTGAACCTCCAACTTTCACCAGCCTTATCAACTGGATTGCTCAGCCTTTAGCTGCATAGAGTAGCGTTGTGTGATGAGGTGAAGGACAAGATAAGGAGAGGAATCTCTAGCTGGTGTAAAGATCATTTGACACAGTCGTGGTTTAACCCCAGCCAGCAGCTAAGCCCCACACAGCCACTCGCTCGTTCACTGCCCGCCAGTGGGATGGGGGAGAGAATCGTAAGGGTAAAAGGGAGAAAACTCGTGGGTCGAGATAAAGACAGGTTAATAAGGAGAGCAAAAGCTAAGCAAAACAGGAATTCGTTCAGCACTTCCCATCAGCAGGCAGGTGCTCAGCCACCTCCAGGAAAGCAGGGCTCCATCACGCATAATGGTTACTTGGGAAGATGAAACACCATCACTCTGAATGTCCCCGCCTTCCTTCTTCTTCCCCCAGCTTTATATGCTGAGCATGGTGTCATACGGTCTGGAATGTCCCTGTGGTCAGTCAGGGTCAGCTGTCCTGGCTGTGTCCCCTCCCAGCTTCCCGTGCCCCCCAGCCTCCTTGCTGGTGGGGTGGGGTCAGAGGCAGAAAAGGCCTTGACACTGCGTAAGCACTGCTCAGCAACAGCTAAAACATCCCTGTGTTAGCAACACCACTTCCAGCACAAATCCAAACCACAGCCCTGTACTAGCTACTAGGAAGAAAATTAACTCTATCCCAGCCAAAACCAGCACAGACTTCCAAAACAATTAGTATGTTTACACCAACTGAGGATCATCTCCAGCATATTGGATGTGGAGGGAGGGAAAAAGAGGCTATTAGTGCTGCTGACAGCTTAGAATGCTGTTTATAGCCTGTTATTTAACATGGTTTAAAACATGTATTTTAAATAGTTGAAAGTTATTTTAAATAGTGTAATTCCTGGAGGTTAGTTGAGGAAAGGAAGGAGGGAATGGGGACCCAAGATTCATTCAATACTTTCCAGCAGTTCTGTGTCATAGCATACATTTTAAAAGACAAATTCTGCAGTGAGTTATAAAAAGCAAGGTGTGTGGCTCTCATATTCCTTCTCCTGTTTTTACTCTGTGAGCTGCCTGAAATAACCTAGATAATTATGAAATCATTAAAGTGAGTTTTAACATTACTTCACCTTCAGTCGGTTACACTGAGATGCCCGAGTTTGGCTTAGTGACATTTCTCAACAGTGTTGAATAAACTCCAATGGAAAGGATAAAACAAGTAGCAGAAACAGTCAACCTCCCTGAAGCAGACTCCAGGCCACTAGGGGTTAAAATACACCAGCATATGACAATATTTGCAAAAAAAAAAAAAAAAAAAAAAAAAGTTAGGCTGAATGAAGAGCTAATTAAATAAAAAAGTGTCTCTAAATTCCCCAATTCCACTGGCGCTCGTTGATGAGATGAGCGATGATTTCTTCCTTTTGTCTTAACAATCTGAGATACTGAGAGAGACACATCTCTTTGTTTCAATTAGGTCAAATCTCTAGCAGTAGTTTTCCTGCCTTCCTTCCACCCACAGGAAATCTCTTCCTCTGTTTTAGCAACTCCCTCTATGAAGTAGTCCATCTGGGAGCAACGGGAGTTTGATATTTATGAATCTAAGGGGGTTATATGTTACTTCAGCTCATTAGGTTCATTGTGGGTTGCTAACTGTCTGACTGTCTTTGAGCTTGCGCTATTTATCAATACTCATTTCATTCCTCTCTCTTCCCTTTCCTACCCTTGCTTCCTTTGCTATATCTGTGTGTCTTTAATGGTAAGACTCAAGAAAGTCTATCCACGTTACAATAAATAATAATTTTTTTTTAAAGTAAAGTTGTTGTACATATTTTGGCTGCCTTTGTCCCTTGGTGTCTTGCTTTTGTTTTGTAAAATACTCAGCAATATATATATATGTGTATATTTAAAAAAAAGAAGTCTATATTTTTTACCGAAACAAAAAAGCCCCTTGGTGCAAATTTAGTTCTCCCTCACAATATTTTGCATTTCTACTCCATATTTCTAACATGTGGTTCTTATTATCTTGCATTTTTAAAGCTTGCCCAGTAACACTTTAAGGTATTTGCTTCATTCTTAGAATTTCTTATTTTTGTAGTAAGGGGAGAATCTGGGTGATTATTTTTATGTTAAAACAAAACTAAACCCTCTCTCTCCCATGACTTCCACTCACCGCTCAAAACATGGTTTAACCTCCTCAAGAAAGTGGAATTTTAAAATGGTGTGTGAAATGACAAAGTTGTTTTTATTGTTTTTCTTTAGTCCCTGCTGGCAAGCAGATTATTTTGGACTTGAACTCACAGGGAAAAAGTTTGAGTTCACTGAATCAATTTCCCTTCTTTTTTTTTTTTTTTTTCTGATAAAATAAATAGTTTCCACAAGATTTTTCTTGCAAGTTAATCACTATGTGGTTATTTCACATTCAACATATGCTCTTTACGTTTCCTGTCTCTCATACGAATCATACTACAAACGATACTGAAGCTGAGAGCATCAGCGAGGTAGACTCAGCTGATGCTGGAAGTGAACTGTGATCCACACTTACATAGAAGTAAGTAGTGACACATACCTACTGTGTTCGTAGGTTTTCCAGTTTGGGCATTTTAGAGGGCCTCCAGCTGGAGCTGTAAAGCATGGTTCCTGGAGAGACTGACTTGTAAAAGAAAAAAAACAGTGCTAGAGTACAGGGACCATTTTCCCCCACTTGTTTTCTCTCCTCTCTTCTCCTGTTTTTCTTCCCTTGTGTTATAGTATTCTGGACTCCTATATTGAATTTGTAAATACATATTTATATGCTCACAAACTGTTTGCCTTTTTCAATGACCTAAAAGCTTGTGGTGGTTGAAACCAAGCCCAAGAAATGGCAAGTTAACCATATTTGTACAAAAAGCATACGTTTGGTCTTGATGTCTAAGATGAAGATCTGACCAAAAAGTGGAAACATTGGCTAAGTAACAAGCTCTTAAGCATGAGATGAGTCACTGGGGTTTCCCTCTGCCCTTCTACAGCTGTGTATGTAGCAAAGGGAAGCCCGGGTGAAGTCTCAGGTACAGCAGAGCTTGTGAGCAGCAACTTCCAGGTGTACTTTCCCATTTCCCCTGCCTTAAGGAAACGCTGGATTTGCAGCTCAGTGGATTGGAGAGAGCAGCTGAGCTCTGCCAGCGGCGTCACACGCATTGGTGGCGCGTTTCTTTCCCACACCACCACCCTGTGCTTTTGATCCAATTCAGCAAAGCATTTAAAAAGATGGGTTAGGCTAGAGCATGTGTGTAATCCGGCTAAAGAACATGGAGGTTGCTGTCGTGCTTGTAGTGCTTTGCTGAATCTGGGTCAGCGAGGAGATCTATTGAATGCCATTGCCCTTTTGGTTTTTATCAGGGTATAAAACCAAATATCAGGGTTTATATCAGGGTATAACTTGTATTTGAAGGCAAGATGCTGCAGTCCGCAATTTGTCGTGTTTCTGCTTATATTAATTCTCTCATTGTAAAAATATACCAAAACCAAAATCAACCTTCTGGTTCTTGTTTGGTAGCTGCATCAGCTTTTCTAAACCCCAGATTCTCCACTTGCTACTTCCATTCCCGAGTATAATCTTAACAATGAAAGAATTGCATTAACTGTGCTCTCATTGTTGAGTTTCCTGTTTATCTTGAGTTGGTGAGATTTACTGTATTTCATGGTCTGGGTATCGTGGCTCTCACTAACTGTAGATATCGTGGATATGAAAACTTCTCCATTTGAACTTTATAGCCATCCCCTGCCTACTGAGCATCGTCACCCAAGGACGTGTTCTGCTCTTGACCCCTTGAACAGTCCTCAGAGGGTGTAGTGTAGGTTAGTTACTTAAATGAAATCGTTACATCATTTGGTATCTTTGAAGTATTGGCTACTTTCTGCTTTTTGCGTAGTGGGTACGCACTCAGGTAGCCTAGTTTGGCATCAGCCCTCTCAGCTAGTAAGAAGAGAAGCAGCTCGCTGCTGTGGCAGTGAGACTGTGACTGTCTGAACCGAGATGTATGGAATTGCATAGGAAACTGGCTGCACCTGCAGAAGCCCAGAGAGTTGGCAGCTTGCTGCTGGGTGCTGCTTGGTGCTCTGAAACACAAGTTTCTCTTCTAGATAAGTAAATGTAATAAGATTTTTTTACTTTTTTTTTTTTTTTAAAAAAAGCCTTTTGGCTTGTAAGGAACTTCTGTAGCAATAGTTCTCATATCAAAGGATAATTATTCTTCTGTGTGTGTTGTGTGACCTATCAGGCAGACTCGGTAGCATCTGTGTGAGGATATCGTAGCTATGACGCCTTAAGATCACTGTCAGGACAGGATTTGTAGGCAGAAGTCAGGTCTCTTACTAGATCAGCTGAAAAGGTTGGGAAAACTGGACATAACGTACACTGAAGGGGTTTGTGCCTCTCTGGAGGATTTCTTTTTAACCCTTCTTTCATGAAGTAAAACAAACCCCACGTGGTTTGTGCTGAAACAGTAGTTACTAAAGGCCCAGAAGATCTCAAAGTATGTGTTTCAGGAAACAATGATGTCACTGAAATTAGTGAGGACCAGCTGATATTTCCAGCATCATCAGTGCTTTGCATGACAACTTGTATAATGAGCTTTGCATGTATGTTTTGTTGCTTGTTAATAATTTTCAGGAAGTAACAAAACTCTGAAGTTAGGTTTTGTGGAACATTGTGCAACATGTTTGTTTATCCTGTATCTCCCCAGTCTATTAACTTGCTTCTTTAAATTCAAATGGATACGATGATATGCAGATTCTGGCATGTACTACCTAGGTAAACTTTTTCTTTGTTTCCACAGTTGTAACATCTGAAATGTTTATACATATATAAAATCTTAGTCAAGTACAGAATTGAAATCTGCTTTTTAAGAACCACTTCTTACAGTAGTCTAATACTTGAAATTAAATTAAACTTCTTTAAGTGACTACAATAATCTATTATTTAGATGATTTCTGATTGTATTTGGTTTTCTTTTAGAGAATCAACGTTAAAAAAAGAAATTGATGAAGAGCGAGCATCTTTACAAAAATCCATCAGTGTTACTAGTGCCTTGATCACACAAAAAGATGAGGAACTGGAAAAACTCAGAAATGAGGTAAAAGAGGAACAGTGGGATGCTTAATTTTAGACTAAGTTATGGCTACAAGCCATATGGCTTTGTATGCTTGCTACTGGAGAGTTGGCTAATTCTTTTTTTTCCTATTAATTTCGCATAGCTACACCTTAGAATTAAATCTTTAGGTATCTGTGCATACTTAGGTGACTTCTGGCGGGTATTTTTGTTGGCTATTTAGCCCTTGCTACGAAGGCTGTTGCCTTGGTGCTCTGATTTCATTCTGGAAGGTCTAAGCATTTCTCAATTCTTATAGATCACGGTGCTCCGTGGAGAAAACGCTTCTGCAAAAACCTTGCAGTCGGTGGTTAAGTCACTGGAGTCTGACAAATTGAAACTTGAGGAAAAGGTGAAGAACTTGGAGCAAAAACTCAAGGAAAACAACGAGCAGCCCTTAACTGTAACTGGCTCCGCAGGTAAGAGAGAGCCTCTTTACTGTCTGTGCCTTCAGCTTTAATCTTGTAGATTTTTTGCAGCTGTTAACCAGATAGTTAAAACGAGGTTTAACTAATTGAACCTCCTGAGAAATGTGACTTTCCTGTTGTAGGACACACATAAGACTTGAATGAAGGAACTCTGACCAGCTGCAAAACGTGGAACCTACCAACATTGCCAGCTTAACCCATTTACACCAGGGCAGAGGGCAATGTGACCTGCAATGAAACATGAGCATAAACCATAAAACTTTATCCTGTTCATGGTGTGGCTTCTGTGCAAGAGCCTTTTAGACTGATTTTGGTTTCCCTTGCTGTAGCTGCAAAGTAATGTGTCGGCATCATAGCAAAACCACCTACCTGAACACAGGACTGGGAATCCCACATTTGAGACACTAAGCTTACCTTATGCTGAGCTTCTTAAGCTTTGTACCACTACAGTGTCACCTCTGCAACAGAGGAGCGTTCCCTTGCAGATCTGTGAATGTTAGCTGTCACCTGTACGTACATTTTTTTTGTATTTTAATAAGTAACGTGCAGTATTGAATATGCTTCTGGAATGCAGTGGTCAAAAAATGCCCCAAAAAAGTCACCTTTACTGAAGCTTATACTGAGTGATTAGAAAGCAGTGAGAATAAGATATTCTGGAGACTAGAGATTATTACATTATTTCAGTCTCTGACTAAGCCATTGTATGATTCCTGGATATTTACACCTTGTTTCTTTTTGGTTTTTTTTCTTCTTCTTCAAAGGTGACATTGCTGCTAACTTACTTCAAGATGAAATTGCAAAAGAGAAGCAGGTATTTGATCTGAAACATCAGCATGCTAAAACAGCAGAGTGAAATGCTTTTCCAAAGACAGTTCCTATCAGATTCTGTAAATCAGGATTATAATGAGCAGATTTATCTTTTAACCTTTTGCTTCTGAAGGGAAATACTAATCACAGGGAATATTAAGAATCAAGTGGCAAGTGATACTGGAGAGAGAGCTCGGGTTACTGGAACGTGAGGAAGCAAGCAGGAAGGCAGGGCTGGCAAGTTTTGACCTGCAGCCTTTCGGTGAGGTACAGCCCAGCAGAGCACACTCGTAAACTGCTCCTTGCTGTTCTTTAAAAAAGGTTTCTGGGATGTGAATGAGGAATGAGGTGTGGCCCATGTGAATCTGTGGTGCTTGCCATCTTGGAGAAATGGGCTACCTGAGCTCACATGCTGCTGCTAAGTTTCTGCAGCTGAAAATGTTGATCTTTGCTGCTTCTTAACTGCAGAACTTTACTTAGAATGCAGGTTGGCAGCAGTGGGGCAAGGAAGTTACTCAGCTTGTGCTTAGTAACAGATTTAGGAAAAATGTGTATCAAAAAGTATGGTAATCATAACGAACATGTGAAACGCTGCTGTGCAACAGGCAGCCTGTGACAACAAATGCCTTAGGAGACATGGTTACAATAGAAGCACTTTCTGCTCCTTATCAAAGTCCTCCTTAGATCACTAATGGCAGTCATGTTGATTAAAAAATGTCCTTCCTAGTCTGTACAGAGATCAGAAGTAGTGTAATTAACATACACTAACCACCAATCTTTTTCTGGTTTTTTGCCTCCTTGAATTCATCTGCTGATGGCAACCCTTCCTTCCAATCAGCACGAGGTTTGTACCACTTCTTGGCTTCCTTCATTTTATTCACTATATAAATTTGCCAGGCATTACTTGATTACGTTCAGCAGTGCTGGCCTGCTGACCTCTGTGGCTCAAACTAGCTCTGGGAGATGCTGTAGAGGTGCACTGCGCTGTCCTGCTGCCCCTCCAGGATGCCTCTGAGAGTATCCGCTGGAGCCACAGGTTCAGAGGAACAAAGATGCTGTTCTCATCAGAATTACACAACTGGATTTATGTTCTAAATGTAACATTAGAAAAAGAACTCGATCTGTTGCTGTTGGGTTGAGACCCACTATGTCTGTCAGACATGTTGGCTGGGCAGAACTGCCTGGCTCTCTGGACAGAAATCATACTGAGGGTCTCGGAGGCCCTTTGGGAAGTTTCTATCTCTTGTTCTCTCGGTGTCCACAGGTATTCTTTGTAATACAGCGATCCAGTGGTAGGAGTTAATGCAGATCTGCACGTGTCATTTTGAGGGTTATTGCTTTGTTGCTTGCTTTCTCTGAAGTGCAGTCCTCACCCTGCTGACTGTCCTTGTTCTTGACTATCATAGATTGACTTCCTGAATTCAGTGATAGTAGATCTGCAAAGGAGAAATGAAGAATTGAACTTGAAAATACAAAGAATGTGTGAAGCAGCCCTCAATGGCAATGAAGAGGAGATAAATAACTATGACAGGTACAAATCCTAAAGGAAAACCTTGGCTTGTGTTTTGGGAGCTGTCGGTAGCAGTCAGTTCTGTCAGCTGCACGATGCACCAGCCTGGTTTCAGCTGTCAGGAAGGACAAATATAGCTTTCTCTTGAATTTAGCGATTGAATCCAGCCTTCTCTTTAGGTCCATTACTATGGTGTACCTGGTGGTACAAAATGATCCTCTGTAGTTATCAGATCACACACACTGATGTCAGTTGTCAGTCTTAGTTGTGTCTGGCCCTTTCCAAGTTAAGTTGAAGAGCCTTTGCTCTCATGAGGCCAGTTGCTGCCTTGAGGTGGGGAGATCCAGTCCAGAAAAATAGAACTAAAATGTATTTGATATATTGTGACTTCAGATCTCTCCTATCAAGGGAAAAGAGAAAATAGTTTACATGTTTCTTTTTTAAATAATGTCTGTATTTGTGCAAATATTTACACAACCAGTGCAGTTTGCTTAGTAAATATTGTAGTGTAAGGGATTGTGGGTACTGCAAGGTAGACATATCAGAAGATCTTCAGAAGGGGGTGGGGTGTAATTCTTTTTGTTCACCACCGTGGTGTTTCCTCAGTCTAATAATTACGAGACAGCTTCTCGTGGAGGGCAGGGAGGCAGGCCTTTCTCCTTAATGACGGAGAAGTACCCTGCTTGACTTGCGCTGTTGCTGATCTTGCAGTGAGGAAGAAAGCTTGTCAAAGAAGAAGCCTCGTCTCTTCTGCGATATCTGCGGCTGCTTTGATCTTCATGACACTGAAGACTGTCCAACCCAGGCACAGATGCTGGAGGAGCCGCCCCACTCGGCTTACCACGGCAGCAGGAGAGAAGAACGCCCCTATTGCGATACCTGCGAGATGTTTGGGCACTGGACGGCCGACTGCAATGACGACGAGACCTTCTAATGGAATGTGCGGCTGGGAGGATAGACTATCTGTGCGCACTAATTGGACGATTTATACCACCAGCATTTGTGTGTGCTGAATGTCAGGAAAAGGGACAGCGTTTCTTGACCCCCTTGCTCCCATTCCCCTTGCCCATCCACTCCAGAATCAGTAAATTGATAAATATTTTGCTCCTCCACTAATAACTACCCTATCTCCCTTTAATAAACTTAAGTGAAATATAAATAAATGATTTAACAAATGACTTTATGCTATTTCTTCCCAGGTTCTGGGTTGGTCCCCACTCGTAACAAGAAATGCCCCTATGCTGTTGCATCTATTGATGGGAAAACGTGTATAGGAACGAAGCACTATAGTTCTATTAAAGCTTATTTAAATACCTTAAAATTATGCTGTTAATTTTCGTATTTGCACTAAACCATTTTAAGGCTGAATTTGTACATTAGATTTTTTTAAGCTTTTTTTGACACTGGACTGGGCTGAGAAATGTTTCATCTTTATCTTCATTTACTCATTTGATTGTGATTTTGCTCAGTGAACGCGAGCTCTGGACACTGCTCAGCTGGGCAGGGCTGTGGTTTTGCTTTTGAGACAGGAAATCATGAAGCAGGTAAGAAATGGAGCTGCTGTGGGGTTTTTGTGGGAAACTCATATGCTGTGCACAGCTAGAGCAGTTTGTGGGACATCCCCCTTCTTTTGCATTCTTTCAGCTTCTATATAGTGTGTGGGGTGTGTGTGTATATATGCATATATATATATTAAAGTTATATTTTGGAAAAAAAAAAAAAGGTGTGTTTTCTTTCATACCTTCCGTTCTGCTAGGAATGTAATGGGCTCAGCGTGGGGTCAAACCTGCCCTGTGGCTGCACTGTGAATAAATTGAAAGAAGGACTTAGCAGCGTTGCGGGGTGTTTTCGCTGCCGCC